AAACTATTAAAATAAATCCTGGACTTGAAATAATAATTAACCTGGATAATTGAAAATAATATTTAAAGTTGATAAAATTAAAAGATAATTAATGGATGAATATTAATACTAAGGATGATGACGAACTTGAAAGATATTGGAATAAAATGGATGAAAGGTCTGATTCCCTTTCTAAAATAATTGAATCAGTGGTACCTTCTAAAATAATGAAACAACAATCTTACCTTTGGGAAAGGATTATAAATTCCTTAAAAGAATCGTCAAGTCACATTACATTAGGTGGTTCTTGAGGAAACCAGAAACCACCGGTGACAACGTCATTTTTTATTATATAAAAATATAAATCTTTAGATGATAAAAATGTAATAAGACGTAACTAGGATACAATTTGATAGTATGACATGATAGTATTTTCACGATATACTTGACAACATGTATGTATTTGATGGCCTGATAACATGTATGGAATATACCCAATAACGTGTTTGCAATATAACTGATAGCAAATACTTTCACTGTTAGCCTCCACAAATGACGACACGCGACTGAATGTATCATTAGATATATTTTTTACCCATGTGGCTAACTTTTGTCATCAGACCATATAACGATGATGGTCAACTTTATGAGATCAGCTACATTATATCTGGCTTCTATGTGGCCAACTTTATGAGATTGGCCATGTACCAATATGGCCCAATTTATAAATCATACCATCTTCGAATGTGGCCAAAATTATAATATAGGTCACGTATTAATGTGGCCAAAATTATGATATAAACCACATGGGATAGTTATAATCCACACTAAGTGATATAATTATAATCTAATTAGATTATAATTATACCACTAATTGAGTTATGATATTCTTTACTATACTCTCAAAGCATTAGAGTTTCACAATTAATATATTTTTTAAAAAGATATTACTTTACAAAACTTTGTTATACAAATTGTATTACTAAATAATAATTTTAAAGACATTGAAAATAAATTTATTTTTTAATAGTTATCTTAATTTTACAAATAATTTATTTCAATTAAGTTTTTCAGTTTTTATAGATTTCTGATATTGATTTCTATTTATCTCATTAAATAAAATTTCTATAAGATACAAAGTTAAGTCAAGTAGATAAAGTTTATTATATATTATTTTTATTATAAATAATAACTTTATACATGTTATCTAACTATTAAATTTAGTTAGACACAATTAAAATTATAAAAAATTAGAATTAAGTTATATAAAAAATAATGCAATTGACAGTTGATGCAATTATTTGATATAATTAAATTTATAACAACTTATATAAATAACTTATTTTTGCTTGAACAAAATTAAATTTACATAAACAAAGTTAGAGTTAAGGTTAAACGGTAAATTATATAATTTTGTTTGACAGTAACAAGTATATTTACTCAATATAACACTGATATAATTTGATGTAATTAAAATTTTTATATGTATTACTAAGTAAAATAATTCACAGACATAATTTGACATAATTATTTTACTAATTGATGTAATTGATATAATTTTTAGCTGAGAAGTATAGTGACAAGTTGTCAAGGAGATAAATGTTATTTAGCAATTTATTTATTTGTTTATTTTAAATTTAATTTAATTTACTTATATTGTTTTTTAAATTATTAATATAGGTTAATTCATGTTTTTTATAATTTTATTTGAAAATCACAGTAAGTTTTAGCAATACTTCAAAAAAAATGACAATGAAATTATCTGTCAATTGTAAATTAAATATTTTAGAATATGAATTTGATATTCAATAATTTATGAGCCATTCGATATTCACTTAACCAATTTGAATATGAGATGTCAATTATCATATATTTTGTTGTACATATCACAATTTGCTTTCAAGTACAAAGTTAATGAATATTGAACAAAGTTTAGAATATGCAAAAGAAAGTTTACAAATGAGTCAGTAATTCTTCTATTTTTCACACTTTTTTGATATAAATTTAGCTAATAATTATATTGTTTTGTTGTTTTTCCAGACAAGAGAAGTTGATTCTTATTTGTATCTTATAAGAGAAGACTTTTGTTATCCTTTTATATAAATTTGTACTTGGTGCTTAGCCAGATCTAGTATAATATAACATTTGAATTTTTAGCTTTGATAATTTTTCTATTTTACCTATATTTTCAAATACTGTAATTATTATGAAGATACTAAAATAAGCATTTTACTTGTATGTTAAAAAATTCAAAATAAAACTTTAGAAGGTGTTCCTCAGCTTGTTTTTGTCCTCCTACTCCTTTACTAGCATCGACTACTAAAATTCCACCGTTAGCTTGGGCAGCACCAGTAATCATGTTTTTAATATAATCAGCATGACCCGGACAATCGATTAACGCGTAATGTCTAGTGTCAGTCTCAAATTCAAATTAATATTTATGATTTCATTGATATAAAGAAGTCAACTAATAAAACTAATACATAAATAATTGGAAGAAATCATGTCAGTCCTTGGACTTATCTTGAAAAAGATAATGACATTTCCATCTCATTATTCTATATTGCTACCTATAAATTAATTTATCTAATGTATTAATAAGTCTATACTTTTTCTTGATATTTTTATAAAGCCTTGTAAATTACAATAAAGACACATCAAATTGTATATTTTTTCATTTTTGATCTAAGTTTAGACAGTTATGCAAAAGTTAATTGACTGAACCTACAATAAAAAATATGGTAGTCAAGTATCTAGTACTGTAATGCTCTGGCCAAAAGCCCCAGGTACACCCTCCAAAAACTTGAGTTATACCCTGGAGGATATTTTGCTTAGCATGGTTTTTGTTTTTCAGATAAAATGGATTGATAAATTATAATATACTAAAATAGTAATAATAATAATAATAATGTAATAATATAATAATAATTAATAATTCAAATAAAATTTTTATTTTTTTTTTCTATCGAATCCGATCGTTATAATACCATATTTTGTACACAGGCATAATACCTGGGTACATTTCACAGGGGGTTTTTACCCTAGGCCAGCGAATTACGGTTATCGAATTATTATCAACTGTAGTCACGTTTCCTATTCCAAGAACCAATCAAATTCCAAAATAAAAAATATAAATTCAGACAGAATTTTTTAAAAAAAAATTTTTAAAATTAAGCACATTTGTGTGTACAACGAATCACTTCTATAAAAAAAATTAAATGAAGTTTTCGTTGAAGGGAATTTTTCTGTGCAATAAAAAAGTCCAAAACTTTAATATATAAATTCATATATTTATTTTCAAATAGTATTTTTTATATGAAATACTTAATGTTTTGGATACAGATAATTATTTTTTTTAAAAAATGAAATAAAGATGATGAAAAAAATTCTTTTGAACAATCTAACACCAAATTTCATAGAATAAAAATTTCTTTAATTTTATCACATAGTTTCAGTTACAAATAATATTGTATATTTTCATGTCGTTCCATTGGTTTGACTAGCTGAACTACGAGAAAAGCTCGCAAATATTTTTTGCTACTATTGTTAATTTTTTGAAACATTTGAAGTATTTATTTATCTACAGTGCTACTTTATTCAGTGATGGCAATTTCAAGGTCATTTGCCATTTTTCAAATGGTTGCATTTAAAATTGAGATCATTTGAAATCATTTCAAGGTCTGACTTTACTCACTATTTAACTTATTCTTTACTTATTCTTGGTCTTTCTAAAAGTAAATCTCTGTCTAGTTGGACTAAATTCCCCCAATTTATGACCAATCATTTCTTCAGCAATTGTAACAGGAACATAATTTTTACCATTATGAACTAAAAATTTTAATCCTACAAATGCGGGTAATATTGTACATGCTCTTGCTTGTGTTTTTATGGGTGTTCCTGTGGCTTGAGCTTGCTTAAGTCCTATAGGTTATTACTTAATTCGTGAAAATGGTGAAAATAATGGAAAAAAAAGGGGAAAAGGTAACGGAAAGAAATAATATATTGAATAAAAAAAAATCAATCAATTAATTAATTACCTGGTAATTTTACAAAGAATGGACCTAAAATTATTTAAAAAGAAATTTTTTAGCATAGCGTATTCAATTCTTGATAAACATTCACAACTATTTTTAATTATTATTACCTTTCCAAGCCGACCTTCCCAATGAAACCAAAGTTGGCTGCATATTTTAATTTCCAAACATCTTCAATGATATCTTCGTTTTTATATACGATTTTTTTTTTTTGTGATTCGCCAATAAAATTTATTATTTCAACATGTAAACACATGATATATTGCCTTTTCGATCTCACGGGACTTTGGTCTTACCATAACAGCTACACAGGTGAAATTAAATTAATTAAATCACACGGCAAAAATTGGGTGATCTTTGAATCTAAAAGAAACGTGTTTCTAACAAAAAAGAGTTTCCAAATACTTTGATGTTCTAAATAATACTCCTGCTTTTCTGTGTATAAAGATAATAATATTTAATTGAGAAATTCTATTCAGATGCTTAATACTTTGTATTATGTGTTAATGTTTTTTTCGCTATTAATCAATAAAATACACATTTTAACTAAATTTGTCGAAAAAAAACGAAAATTTTGATCCAATCGAAAGAAATTTTTACTACAATCGCATCTCTAGGTAAGACAAGTTTATAATCACGCTGACTACCGAAAAAGAAATCCTTTCTCGTAAAACAACTACTTAAATTTCTAGTTGAATTGACCGTAAAAAACGACTAATTCAACCTATAAATTTTAATTATAAATGGGTTCGCTCCACAAACATTTTTGAAATACTTGTCATGGTCACGTTGTATATCGATAAGAAAATATCGATGCCGAAATAATATAAATAACAATTTCGGTATTTTCCGTTACAATAATACAATAATACAATAATTCTCTATTATTATTATTTTTTATTGATGCGAGTTTTTTTATTTATTTTTTTTTTTTATTTATGCAGTTTTATTTATTTATTTTTTTTTTATTGATGTTCTTATTCCCTTATTAATCCTCAATCAATTCTCTTTACGTACATATTTAGTCTCTAAGAAACAAATTTCTTCTCAAATAAAATTTAATTCGTTCAAATCATAGAACTTTGTTAATTGTACTATTTGTAAATAATACTTATTATAATAATTTTTCTTTAAGAACGTGAAATTTCACATTTTTTATAAACAAAAAAGATTTACGTACTTACAATTAAAGTAATACACGACAAAAAAAAAAAAAACTTTTTTAATTTTTAATTATTTTTATTTAATTTTATATATAAAATGAATATATTATTATGCAAAGATATTGTATAGTAATAATTGTGTAAATATTGTAAGTATTATTAATTTTGTATTTCTAATTAAAGAGAAATAATTTTTTTTTTTTTTTTTTTTTTTGAAAAATACGAATAATTATTCAGATAATGCCAATAAAAAAAAACGGTAAGGGAAAAATTTTGCCATATTGCGTAAGTTAAATTAATTTAAAAACCATAGTCTTAAAAAATAGGAAATAATATATTATATTATATAGAAAAATGAGTGTTAATAAAATTAATAAAATGCGAATTAAAATTAAATTTACTATAAGGAAATAAAAACATAGAAATTAGAAAATCTTTGGTATTACATAATGCGAAGTTTATATATTTTGCGAGAGGTGAAAAAAAATGCATACATGAAAAAGATGATGAAATATGATAAAGATGATTGATGTTGATGATTAATCTCTATTTTATCTAATTAATTGTTGTAATTAATAATTATAATAATCATTATTATTATTAAAAAAAAAGAAGATATGTGCATGGAAAATATAATGCGGTTTTTTTTTTTAGGTTCATTTTTTTGTCTATTTGTGATTTTGAAATGCGATGTGTAAAAATTATTTACAATATAAAAAAAAAATAAGTTTGGAAAGATGGAAAAAAGAAAAGTATCGTTAAATGACTCCTTAACTTTTTCTTTTAGAAAGAAAAAAATATCGAATTTTATAAAATTATATAAAATTATTATGCCAACACTTTTCCGATTGAATAAAAAAAGAAAAATATTTTTAAAAAAAATATTATCGAAAGATGTTCTTTTAAGATACGAAAAATACAAAAATACGCGTTTTTTCCCACCCAGAATATATATATCAAAAAAAACGAAGAGAATGTTCCTAATTGTTCGTTTTAGAAATTTTTTTGCTAATAACACACACATACATATATATATATAAGTACATAGTATAATATGTGAAAAATATCATATATAAAAATATATCTATCTATCTAAAACGAAATAAAAAACATTTATTCATTAATATCCTCTTAACATATTATTAACAACATTAGAATGATGAACATTATAAAGATGATGATGTGATTGTAATTGTAATTGTTGTTGTTGTTGTTGTTGTTGTTGAAGATGATATTGATGATGGGGATGATGATGATGTGGTTGTTGAAGAAGGTGATGATGATTTAACATTTTTACACCTTCTACTTCACCATCATAACGATTTTTCTTTGCAGGTCTACCCATTCGATGAACTCGAAGATGTCTTCTCATATTACTTTGTACTGAAAATTTTCTACCACATCCTGGTTCTGTGCAAACAAATGGCTTTTCACCAGTATGTGAATATGTATGAATTCTAAGTGAACTGGGACGTGAAAATCTTTTTGAACAAAATGGGCATTGATAACGATTTCCATTTGAAGAAGAAGAAGAAGAAGGTGAAGATGATGAGGTGGAAGAAGGAGATAATGATGAGGATGAAGAGACGGCGACGGACGAAAGGAGGGAAAGTGGAGAAGAAGAAGAAGAGGAGGAAGATTCAGAGGAGGAAGAAGAAGAAGGAGACATAGTCTTTGATATGATAGAGGTTGGTTTACGTGTATATGGAGAAATTGGAGTTGGATGAAGGATTGGAGGAAATGAAGTAGAATTGGTATTGGTATTGATATTGATATTGGTAGAATTTGAAGAATATCTTTGCTGGATCGGAGCAGCATATGGATGATAATTATTTTCTTTATACGAAGTGTAAGTAGTAGAAGTAACAGGAGTTGAAATAGGACTTGAAGAAGTTGAAGGTAATTGTCTCATACAACAAGCACTGCAATTACATTGCTGTTGTTGTTGTTGTTGTTGTTGTTGTTGAACGTAACGATCATTCTGATTATATTCATTTCTGTCGTTTCTAATACTTTCATAAGAATTAGAATTAGCCATTTCTGGCGATTCTGGAGGGCTTAGCAAAGATCTAATACTATTACGATTATCAATATTATTCAATTTAGAGTCAGAATATGAATTATAGGAATTATATGAATTATATGAATTATTCGCACCTAAAAAAAAAAAAATTAAGGTTAATAAAAGTTACTATTATGATTATAATTTATGATCTAAAACTTTAAATTTTACTTGACATACCATGAGCGAGAAGGAATTTGATTGGAGGCAATGTAGTCTGCATTTTTTGATATATTTTAATGTATATATATATATATATTACACAAGTAACTTTCGAATTTTTTTTTTTTAAAAAAAAATGTAACGTTATATATATATGTGAAAATGATTCTTTTAAAATTCGACGACAAGGAAAAAAAAGCTGCACCGTGATCTTTTTTAACTTTGTAACTAAAGAAAAGAAGAATATTAAAATAATAGTAATATTCTAATATTCAAATAGGGTCAAGTTTTTTTAAAAAATAAAATAAAAATGAAAGAAAGAACAAGATAATAAAAAAATTGAATAGAAAAAGCGAAATATTATTTTAATAATAATTATAAACACGAAAAAAAGTTAAGATGAATATATATCTCTATATATATTTAAAACTTGCGGCGGCGGCAACTATAAAAAGTTTTTGAGTGTTTCGCACCGTGTTAAAAATACCTTGAAATTGCTTGATATTTATATTTCTTTCGTATGTGTAACAAACTTTTCGTGCATATTAATATGAAATAAATAGAATAAATATTTTATTTAAATATAAACATATGTTATCGTTGACCATTTTATGTCAATATTTTCGATGATTGTTATTGTTAAAAAATATATAAAACATATCTATTACATAATCATGATAAAATAAAAGAATAATGTGATTTCCATGCAATCTTGTTACAAAAACGAAGAAGAATGAATATAAAATGTATGTATAAAAACGTATAGTATTATCATCTAATGTTCAATAATGATGTGCAGATTAAACAAAACTTAATATATAATAAAAAAAATAAAAATAGAAAAGATAATGAATTTGAAACAAAAATTTCTCGATTTGGTGTGTCATAATTTAAATAATTCGCCGATTAATTTATTAAAAAATGTATAAAAAGTAGATCACACTCATCTTTTTTGGGCATAATTTCCGTTTTTTCTGCAAATCAAAATTTTTTTTAGCCGTAATATTTAACCTTTTATCAAATAAAAAGATTTTCTTTGATCTCTTTGATTTTCTTTATAATAATACTTAAATTTCATAATATATTTTTACATAATACCCTTTTATAGTATTATATAACTATATTACATAATTTGTTATACAACTAAATCTTTACCTTTTATTTACAACCAATAGAATAATATATATAAATATAAATAGAAATATTAATTGCATGATTCTCATTTCAGTCACTCTTAATTTCTTTTTTTGGAAACTTGTTTAAAAAACAAATATTTGTAATCTTCATTATTCATGTATTGGAAATACTTTCTTTTCATGTCAATTTCTTTTTGAAAACCAAAAATTTTAATATTCTATTTTTTCAAATATTCTTTAATGATTATCTTGTTACATTTATTATTATAATCAATATTATTAATATGTTTTAATATATTTAATAATAAATATTACAAATATTATAAATATTAATTGTATTGTTCATACTATTTGTTGTTGTACAAAATACTAAGATTTTCTTTTTGAAAATTTTTTTTTAATATAGTTGTAAACTATATATGGCTTTAAAATTTATTATTATTATTATTATTATTATTATTATTATGGTTTAAAAAAAAATAATTAATCGTAGGGGAGATCTCCGCGAATGTTTTGAAATATAAAGAACGAATAATCATATAATTTAAATATATTAAATGTATGGATCTTCTTTGATTGGACCTTATTTTATTTTTCCGATCACCAATATTGTTAATATTTGTACAAGTTTTGCATTCATTTATTTTATTTGTTTTGTGTAAGTACAAGAAAAGATGAAAGAGAAAAGGGAACGGGATGCGACGTAAATCATGTCCACCATTATTTTCAATTGTAGTTACGCAGGTTTTTTTTGGTAAAATAAAAATTTATCCGAATATTCCACATATTCCACATGGCTAAATACAAATCATAAAAAATTGTTCATAGAGGCCAATTAAAACAAATGTTTTGAAGATCGTACATAAAAACAAAGATCTCTTTAATTATTATTTGTGATTTGTTACTTTTAGAACCTTATATGACTGAAACGGATCTTCCGAGTTTTGAGAAATTATCCAGAATTTCGGTGTTTCCCGATCATTATTCATAACTTTATTAATTATAAAGTATTACGGATTGATAATTGCACTTGCCATGGCATCACGAACGCATTATAATTACGTCATAAAATACGTGTGGGTGATCATTGCATGGAAAATCTTTATTTTAAACTAGTAATATGAGTAAACAAATTCACATTTCAGTATTAACTATAGGTTCCTTCTTCAAGGTTACGTCATTACGACACGCTAGATGTTTTAATATGACTTACCAGTACGTCATGTAACAGATAATTTATGATATATCGTACATTTTTATATTACTTAACATAGTTACGTCAGTAAATTTTGCACCTATAGGTAATAAGGTAATAGTATAGATATAAATTTGAATGTTTCAGCAATTTAAAATATTTAAATATTTGAACTAATAACTGTTTATAATCGTTTATACGCTTATAAAATTTTAAATATTGTCATTAAAGTATTATTAAAAAAATAACCAATAATTAACCATCACTGGATCATCAATAAATTGATGTTGGACAAGTTATCGACACGGACATTTTTATATAAATTATTTGATTGCGAATATTGCACAAAATGAAAACTATGGAAATAAATGGGGATAAGTTAGGATTTGACATCGTTTCATTTACAATTTTAGGGACTAATTTGTTACACATCATCTGCCGCTTCAAGTTAATTGTCCTGCGGTTAAGATTCCGGATTTAAACTGGAACACCACATTTTCGACAACGTTACTGGCGATCTTTGTAATAATAAAAAATTAATCGTTTAGTTTCATTTTTATTGAGTTAAAATTCATTAACATTCAAACGAAATAATAAGATTTTCGTTTCGTTATTTTTTATTCAATTAATATTATTTTAATTTTTTTTTTCATTTATTTTGATAATCCACTAATTATATTTAGATTCCGTAAATCAAAAAAAAAAAATAGGATCTCCGGATTTTATTTATTTGAATTTTTTTTTTAAAATAATAATTAAAATAATTTTAATTTACGAACAAAAGAAATGATTTAAGATTGGTAAAATTTATAAACCAAAAATATTGACATCAACATGCATAAAACGCGAATTAAAACATCAACTAGAATAATTGATATTTTGATTATGAAATAATTATAATTTTCAGTAAAAATCTGACAAATCTTACGTAACTTGAGTATATGACACCTACATAGTATTACAAGTACAGTGCCAAGTATGTACAGATGGGTTTCATACATAATTAATCTGTTTTTAACCTCTCATCGTTGCCCAAATAAAATTTGAAATTAATGGTTAAAAGGTTCATAGGATCCTGAAATATGTTATACTCAGGGATTTCTTGGCCATCATATAAGATATTTTTGTACGTAGTACGAAATATCGGATTAATTGCTATTTTGTAACTTTAGAAAATTACTTGAATATTTTTATTACAAGTCTACAATAATCGTCGATCGTTGCCGATCCGCATATGATATAAGTGCAGATAAAATTATTTGAGATAAGTTCTTTTTATTTAAATATTTTAATATAATTATTATTAAGCTCAAAGTTTTATAGTTTTTACCTATAATGGAAAATTATATATGAAATCCTTTATCAATTTTTAACCATATCAATTGAAATTTTTATTAAAAGGATTTTAAGATTGAGTCTTTTAATTCTCGTATTTAAATAACTTAGAATTATGCAAATAATATCTAAATATTGTCAATTTACAAATTGTATTGCTTTTTTATATATATATATTCTTTAAAAAAAAATTAATTAAAAAAATATAAATTATTTCTTATTTTAGATTTATGGCTTTAAACTTATAAAATTCATCTAATTTAAAGAATTTTTTCAAGCTAAACAACTCTGCCGACGTTTTAAAATTTCAAAATTTACTTTTGTTCCATCCTTAAACATGTTATTCTGAATATATACAAAGTGTTTATTCTCAAATTACTATATAGAAAAAGATTTTCAATTAGTCTATTATTTAACAATTGTCAAAAATGTTACTCAGTAATTAAAGTTTCAGACTTTTATTTAAAATTAGAATGATAGATATTTTAATTTTAAATGTAATCAATTATTTTTTTTTCAATTAATATAAAATTTTATATAGTAGATGTACTTTATTTTTGACTTTAAGTATATTTAATATCACTTTTAATATTTAATTAGTAAAAAAAAAATTTATTATATAGCAATAATTGTGAATCATTTTTAATTTTTATTATTATTTAAATATGACATAAAAATGCAAAATAATCATCCAATTAAATTACTTTAATTGTAAGTATTTTTTAAAATGTATTTAAATATTTGTAAATTAAAACTTTTAGAATTACATTTCTGATCAAATCTTGTAGTCAGTACTATAATGAATAATCAATTTATATAATATATTAATAAAAAAAAAATTAGAAATTAGCAAGTAAACAAATTTGTTTATTATTTCAAGAATTTAATTCAATAATGATTAAAATAGAATCTAATGAAAATGCATTTGTATGTTGTCATTTTGAAAAACAGAGTAGGCATCTTTATATTTGACCTGGAAAAGGAAAAATAATTTTTAATTGTATACCAAGAAAATTAATAAAGTGTAATATTATATAATTTGCACTTTGTATTAAATTTAATTATGATTCAAATTTTACTTGTCATGATAAAGAATATTAATTTTTTTTATATTTAGTGGTAAAGAAAAGTATATAACTAAATTTCTTTTAAAATTAACAATCCTTTACTTCAAGTGGTTACCAAGTAAACATATTTAATAATTCTCTTGAATCAAGCCAGAGGTTTGATTAGAAGTTACTTTTTTCTTGTAAAATAAAAACAATATACCTTTTAAGTATCAAAATTACTTTGGATCGCCTTTTTTGTTTCTTCCAAAAACAAATGGGTCAGGTCTTATCAACAGGAAGTAATTGAATAATCTATTTATTAATTTATATGATATTTAACAAGTTTTAATAATACATTAATATATAATACAGTATTATTCCAGTTTGCCTTTGGATAGAGAATTTCTTGATCCCACCAAAGTTTTCTGAATTTTTCAATTCATTTGTAAAATTGAAACAATCAATTATTTAGAATCTCAAAGTTTTTTTTCAGTTCATTTGCAAGCAGAGTTGAAATAATAATTGTCGGTAATTAAATAAATTCTTGCAATAATTGGTAGATCCCAGAAAACATTTAATAATATTGACTTGGTATATAGAAATATTTGGATATTCACAACCAGTAGGATTATTATTATTAAATTGTAAAGTGCTGAAATCCCACTATAATATTGTAAAAATTATATCTTAAGTCTTTAAATATTCAATACAAGAAATGCCTAATCTTACTATTGGTGTATTTCTTGTGATGCTGATATTTGGCACGGTCATAGTCCAATCTCACATTTCAAAAATCAAAATTAGTTATATTTTTGACACTTGCTTAATATTGATCATTGTTTTTTGAATATTGAGATTAATATTTGCACGGGCACCTGATATTTTTGTAAAAGTCATTTCTAAAATAATAAAATATTTTGTAATCATTAATATCGTTTCGACAACATTTCTAAAGTGAATTCCATCAAAAATCATATATGGTCAAAATTGAACTACTTTGTTTATTTATTTACAAGTTATCTACCAATTATCTTTTACTTTTGTAAATATTTATCAAAAAAAAATTTTGCCTGTTTTTTCTGTATCTCTAATTGTTTCTTTACAGTTTTATATTATGCCAAATATATAATGTATATATTGTTCATGCATTTTTTATTCCAGAGTAGTGCTTTAAAGTTAAGGCTACTTCACAAAATATTTTCCTATAAGGATTTTCCAATACAAATATACAATATTAAAAAATATCTCAAAATAAATACGATAACGATACAAATTCAATGAACTTCTATATCACTGAGAGTGGATTATAATGAACTTTAGTAAAAATAAAATATTAATTGTTATTACTACGAAATGACCAATGGAATGTATCAATTATCACATGATCGTTATCTTCAAATCATAAGGCAATAAAGTAAGGATCAAGGAAATCTTTTACATGGTTGGGCTATAACTTTTATTGGAAAACCACGTCTTACACCATTGTTTGAAGTGTCAAAAAGTAGTAAGACAGTATCTTCGTGTTCTAGGTTGGCCATATCACAACAAATTTTTCCATTATCCCAATGGAATTTGTATTTGTATCTGCGCTTGATTTGTTGTGATCAAAAAAAAGTATTATAGTTTCATTGACTAGTTATAGACTATGTTATCAACTTTATTTTGAAATTTCTTTATTCTCCTTACAGCTGATTTCCAAACAGATATTTTAAAAAGAGTGGTTTTGTTGCGATATAATGTAAGGAATAATGTCGCGATTTAGCGTTTGGAGCAGTATTACGTAATCAAACAAGTCACAAACACAAAGACGAAGTGTCTCTTACCACACCTCAATTAAAACAATCCATTCTCATCTGATCACTAATCAATTGTTTTTTTCAAAGTCTTACTCATTTTTTGTGGAAGACTTTGTTAACCCATGTTGTATATGGTAGATATAAAGTCGAGTATTAAAAAGGAAAGTTCGGTGGTGTACATCCAAATATCAAAAAAATAACCTTTTGAGGTCAAAGACGAAACTTTTGCTTGTCATACACAAAGACAACTCATGGTCACGGCTTTCATGTCCGAAATATTAGAGCCACGTGATATTGAATATGTTAATAGCAATAAATTCAATAAATTCGAGGGAATGAAAATTTAATTAATTTGTACCAACTCAAGTCAAAATAAAATTTAAAATTTCACAATAGAAATATGTAAATTACTATGAAAAATAAAATTTCTTTATCAAAAAAAAATCATCCAAAATAAATATATAATTTTTTTTCTTTTGTTTTAAAATTTCATAAAATGTCCTGATAATAATTTAAGATCCAAAGAAAAAAAATATTATTTCGTATTAAAAAAAAAAAAGAATGGATCAAAATTATGTGATGTGATCGAATTAATGCTCTATGACATCGACATCTTCCATATCAATATCCACGGCAGAAGATAAAATACTACTACCAATATTTTCAGAAATAACAGAATCAATTTCGGACCAAGTATCTTCAGATCTAATAGATTTTGTTGTTGTCATAAAACGAGATTGATTGGAATCATTAATGATATTTGGACGCATCAATAGTTGTGATTTTGTAATAACATAATCATCATCATCTTGAAGATGTTTTTGAGATGATGAAATAGTAGAATTGGTAGTAACTGAACGAGAAGAAGGTTTCATAATAACTGAAGGATAATTATTAGAAGTTTTTTGATTTTGACTGATGTGAGATAAATCTTGAGTGAGAATAGAATGTGCCGCCATATCGGAATAAACATGATTTTCATTATCACGTTGTTGTTCATCATGCAAAGAACTGGACATAGTCTTAATAGAAGGAGCTGTAGTGGTGGTGGTGGTGGTGGTAACAACAGGAGCAATCGGAGAAAGATCAGTTGGCGGTGAATTCAAGTCATTAGGAGAAGGAATAATCAACGGTGATGGTTCATTAACATTTATCGAACCCGCAGTGGCGGGAGTGGAATTATTACTATTAAGAAGGTTAATTTCGGTGGGTGAATCCAAACTTAAACTAGAATGTGAACTACTAATTAAATTTTGTTTCCTCCTTTCAATTTCACGTTCTTTTTCATTAAGAATACGTTCTTCATCTGCCAATTGTTGTTTTTTACGTTCGATTTCTTGTTCTACTGCATTCAAATATGATAATTTATCTAACAATTCCTCTTCATTCTCGCTCTATAAATGAAAGAAATTAATATATACCAATATATATCAATATAAATCAATATATATATATATATATACATATATATGTATATCTATTTATCTATTTTATATTTCAGATATCAGATATCAAGATATATTAGCAATCTTCTTATCTTTAATTATTATTTTTATTATTACACGCATTTCTTCACAATCATAGCAGATCAAAATCACACAAATCACAATAAAGTTTTGCTTACATGGACCGGAGAATTTTCTGATCGTTGACTATTTGAATTTTTTGATTTCTTCTTTCTCCTTCTAAGATCATTTGATTTTTCTTTATAATTATTCAAAGGCACATCGTCTTCCTCGGTATTACGCTGACTTCGTTGTTGGTTATTATTGTGGGATCGACGGTCGTTAACGTCTTCGAAAACGTAATAAGGCTGTCCTTCTGCTTCCTTATAAAGAGTATATGCGGTGTAGACCACAACAGCACTAGTAATAACTATGCCCGCAACAAACCAGTAATGCATCATTTTTATTATTATAAATATAAGTTACTAAGAAACTAAAAGGAAAAATCCGTATGAATAATTTCATTATCATATGGATTATATTGATCTCGTGCTTGGGAAAATACGTAATATGTATTGTGACACGAATTCATACACATTGAAACAATCCTTATCTGACATTATACATTTACTATAATTCGAAGTTTCAATATGTTAAACGATATAGAAACACATTGAAACGTTAATGATTTTTTAAAGTTTATTAGAGGAATAAAAATAAATGAAGTAAATAAAACAAAATAAATGAATTAATTTGTGACTTTCTGGTTAAAATTGAGTTAATATCAATATTGTTTGTTAAGTAAAGGGGAAGAATTTGTGATTTTATAGATTAAAAGAGTTAATATTTCCAATACTAAAAGTTTCAGATTTATTATTATTAGCACAACAATAACAACAATAAAATCAAATTGGGACAAGTCTAAAAAAGCTTTCATGTGATCACCGTATCAGCAGTAAAATCGGTACAACAATAAATGCTTTTGTTTCCTTTTTTGAAATAATGATGCATAAAGATTTTTTCTAGATTTTTCTTTAATTTCGGGTAAAAATGTAATATATCTTTTTCTAGAAATTTCTTTGAGGGTTCGAGGGATATTTTTCTTCCGAAGCAATTTCCTACCTTCGGGCCGAAATTTATTTCTTTTTTTATCTTCAAATGACAAAATTTCATCGCGTTTATCAAATAATTATCTCCAAAATAAGTCAACAATATTAACAATATTAACAATTTTGACAATTTTATTATTCACAAAAAAAAAAAAAAATACGCATATATACAGTATTATTTAGAAATATTTAAGTATTTTTTTTTTTAAAAAAAAAGTTAAAGAAATTACTTTTACTAATTATTTCTGATATTACATCATTTAATTTCCTTTAAGAAATAAACAAACAGTTCAATATTTAACTTTTTATATTGTATATTTTTATTTTCTGAATAAAGAAATAACAAATGAAGTCATTAAAATTTTTTTTAAAAATAGACTGGTGTGTGATGATAACCACAAAGATAAACTGTGAATGTTCTATATATAATCTGGATATTACGTTTCTTATCAGTTAATTTAAGAAAAAAAAATGATAATAATAATAATAATAATAATAATATAAATAATAATACTGTTTTTTTTCTTGTTAAGAATTTCCTTTGTTTTGGGGTTTTTTTTAACCATTTAGAATAAATCTAGTAAAATCTCGTGACTAATTAAGTAAAATGATTCGTTGTTATCCTTTTCGAGAATTACTACTTTTGAAAAAAGAACACGGAGTTTTAATAATGTGTGTCGTGATGCGTTGTGTTATGTAGTAGTTACACACGTCTTGGATTCTTTTTTAAATATATAAATATGGGTTCATCATCTTCATCCTAAAAAATTTCATTATATTTTTACTAAAAATATTTTTTTGATTAATAAATATTTTGTCATAATAAGGCGATAATATACATATAACAAATAATATATATATATATATATATATTTATTTAAACATAAATCTAGATTTATATACATAAAATATTAATAAAAATATATATAAAAATATATATTCTGTATATACAAACACAAAAACAAAACAAAAAGACAATAACAAAAAATGACACAAAATAGTCGAATTCATTATTATTCAGATGGTGATATTTTAATAATAGTGAATGATACAAGATTTCGCCTTCATCGAAATATCATGGGTTTAGCTTCTAAAGTATTTCAAGATATGTTTGATTGTGCTACACCTTCCTCTCAAAACGACTATAACAATAATAATGGAATTTATGATAAAATACCCGAATTGACATTAGAAGGTGAATCAACTGCTTTAACATTTGAAGATGTATTATCTTTTATATATCCCAATACATTTATACCCATTGGATGGAATAATGTATCAGAATTTTTACGAATTGCGGATAAATACATGATGGATTCAGTATTATCAGCTTCTAAAACATTTTTAGAAAGAGAATTTCGGAAGAAACCATTATACGCATTATATTTAGCTGATATATATCTATTTCGAGAAATTTATAAAGAATCAACAAAATTAGTATTTGAAAAATTTCCAGATTACAAAAGAACAAATTTATTTCAAGAACTTTCCATAATCACTCGATCAAAGTTAATTAATCAATATACCAAATATACCAATGCATTACAGAAATTAAGTAAAATTGATTTCACTTCGGGTTATTTACATTGTACAGAATGTTCAAGTAGTTTAAATCATAATAATGAAATTAATAAAAAATTTTCTGAAAGAGTTAGACAAGTTCAAGTATTACCATTACCATTACCATTACCTCCACCATCTACTACTCGAAAAATATTCTTTCAATCTATTGGTAATAACATTTGCGATAGTCAATTTATGGTTCATCAACTTTCGAGAAAATTTAATAAACATTTTGGAAAATTTGAACCTTTAGAATGTAAAAAATATCATAAAGATGCTAAATTTTATTTATTTATTGAATTGGAGTAAGAAAAAAAATTATATATATAGAAAAAAAAAACAGACGTTAAATTGGAGAGATTAAGAAAGAGAAAGAAAATATTAGATTTTATTAAAAGAAAAGTGTACATATTATTATATTATTTATTTTTATTTTTTTTTTTTTGGTAAAATTTTCCTTTGTTGTAAAAAGAACTTTTGAAAATAAATAAAGAAAAATCAAAAATTAATAGTAAAATAATCTAATGAGGTTCTTCATGTGATCATTACGAAAATATCGAATTTATCATTAGCGCGAATAATACACTTGAAATACAATCAACATCATAACATAAAATTATAAAAGAATTAACAAAACAAATAGACAACTTTTAAAGCTTCAAACCTTTCTTTTTTGGCAAATTCGAAAGTTTAAGTTTCTTTTTCTTTTTTTTTTCTTTTTTAATTTAATTGAAGGTACAAAAATTGCAAATAGAATTAACATATACAATATGCCTATTGATACTAATGATTCTTCAATAGTATAGTATCTGGTGAACAAAAACAATAACATTTGAACACAATTCACATGAATTCCGGGGGGTAAATCTTTAAAACAAAATAAATATGGTAATCAATTTAGATTATAAAGTAGATTGATGTAGATTGATGATATTGGTATTGGTGTAAGTATCTCTTTGCACAATGCATAAAGTAATAACCGATCGATAGTTCATTGGGACAGTCTCTTAAAAATATGCAGTGCAGCTTACTATTATGCCAGTTTATATATTAGTTTTTGGTACACCCTGATTTTAATAAATGAAATTTAACAACTATACTATATTGTCAATTTTGGAAATTAAATTAATCACTGAATTATATTTATGATATTTATTATTATTATTTATTATTATTTTTTTTAGACATGAAATGTTCTAAAAATGTCTGTGATGGTTAAATAACCTTCAAATGACCTGGTCATCTGATTCATTTCAATTTAAAATTATGCAAAATTCAATTTTGAATAAGAATATTGATTCGTTATAAAAATGTATTATTCTGTTTATTTTGTATTAAAGATCTAAATAAATATTGATGAATTATGATGGTTACATATTTCTTGAAGGAATGCCGAGACTGCAAAAATTTTTTAGTGATGCGATAATAGAGGATCAATTTAAAAGAAATAAAATTAGTCATGTCAGTTGTTCACGCCTAGTAGCACAAAATAGCAATGAGAATAATTAAGAGAATAATGATAATATAATAACTGATCCGATAATGATAATATAATAAACATAACTGAACCGATTACAATACAAGTCTAAAACTATAATAGTGATTCTAATAATAATTCAATTGTTATAATCGTTGATAATTATCTCTTTTTATCCTTCTATATAATAATCTTGTGATAATTCCTATAGATATTATTATTCCCGAACAACTTAGATAAAATGCTTGTTTATAACATTCAGTTCCGGAACATTTATTTTTTTGATGTAAATCATTATTATAACCAAAATATAAATTAAATAATTGACCTCCCATTCCTGCGAACTATAAATAAAATAATAAAATAATAAAATAATTTAACGAGAGTAAAAAAAATAAGAGTAAATAAATCAACAAGAAGAAATAAGATGAAATAACTTACAATTGTCATTACACCCCAATTAAACCCAAATCTTCGCGATCCAAACCATTCATTTGTAATAACTGGACCAATAGAGAACACTGTACCGTATCCTAATCCCATTAAAATAGTTACAAGATATAAATAATTTAATGAATTTATAAAAAATCCCATGAGCAAATGACCTGATAATAAATAAATTCCTGATAAAAATAAATAAAGAATTCTTCTAATTTTAAATTGTTCTTTAGTAATATCTGAAAAAATTCCAGCGGAAATTCTACCAATACATGAACTTATTGAAAGTAAAGAAACATGAAAATTTTGTAATCCTTGAATTTTGTGAGAAGAACCTTCTTGAATAGAATTCGTGAGATTATTATTTTTATCAGAATTAGTTAAATAAAGATACTTAATAATCGCTCCCACATTATTTATATACATAAGTCCTGTGCCAGCTAATAATAACATTACGGCACCAAATAATAACACATCTTCATTTCGAATTAATTCCCAACCACCGATATCAGGTTCAAATTGACTATTATTATTATTATTACTATTTATTAAAGGTGTTTCTTCTAATTGATTAATTCTAGAATCATTATTAATATTAATATTAATATCTTCATTTGAATCAATATTTTCATTATTATTATTATTTTCATCATCATCATCATCATCATTATTATTATTATTATTATTATTTTCTTCATTATTTTCATGTATATTGTTATTACTATTACTATCCTCATCATTAGGATTAGGAGGAATAATTACTACTAAAAACCAACTTCCAATGAACATACATGAACCTGTAGCAATTGAAAGAAAAATCAAAAAACTAAATGTATCCTTTTTAAAAAATAAGTTATTAATTTGAGATAATAAAAATGCGGAAAGACCAAATGCAGCCACCGGGAATCCAAAAGCTATTCCACGTTTTGATTTAAAATTTCTTGCCTAAATTAATAATAAAAAATAATAATAAAAAAAAATAATAAAAATCATGATTAAATAAAATCATAAAAATCATAAAAAATCATAAAAATAATAATTAATAAAATAATAGATATTCACAATTATTCCTAAAGAAGATACAAAAGCTAGATTGATTTATAAAATAATATAAAGAAAAAAAATAATAATAAATAATAAGTCAAGAGAATAATAAAAATAATAATAAACTATAGGAATATCAAATCAATAAATAAATATGATTAACCTGCTGATGATGCAACTCCAGATATAAAAAGGTAAAAAGCACATAAAATAAATGAAGTTGATTTAAAAATTCCTTCATATGTCATCGCAAGACAAAAGAAACCAGTAAAAACAAAAAATGATGAATATAAACACGTCCTATTTTTGAATTATTAAATAAATAATAAGAATTGTCAGAATAATTAATAATTGAATAATAATAATAATAATAATAATAATAATAATTGAATAAATAATAAAAAAATAAAGTTTTTAAAATTACCTTCGAGATCCATAATTATCAACAATATAGCCAAAAAATGGAGTACTTAAAAAAACTCCATAATTTGCTGCACTTCCGATAGTATTTATTTGAACCGAATTAAATCCTAATCGATCAGCTAATGCGGTACTATAAGCTGAAAAGAGATACTGAGTACCAGAAATTGATGATACGAGAACAGTTCCAAAGTATGATAATTTAAGTTTCAAACTTGAATTCATATTATTTATTATTCCCTTTTTATACTATTATTATTTTATACTATTTTTATATACTATTTTATATTGTTATATATTACAATATTATTATGTAATAGATATTATAGTATATATGGAATATAGACAGTAATTTATTCTTTTGTTTTTTTTTTGAACGAAAAAGGTATATTATAATTATTTATTTCATGTGGAACAGTACGTCCTTAAAATACACCCGCGTGCCAAAATTCAAAAAAGGAAATTGCAACAATAAATGTTATTGTTAATATTTCCTTTTTTGAATTTCGGCGATGTTTATTTAATCATTATTTAATTATTTTATTCTATGTATAAAAAAAAAAGTTCATCTCTATATGATTCTTTCAATTTTAATTGTTTTTAATTCTATTTTATTATTATTTTAAAAATAATTTTGCAACATTTATCAACAATGATGGAATGAGAGAATAAATTAAGGGAATAAATTAAATAAATTAATGAAGAATGAAGGGAAAAAAAAAAAAAAAAAAATAGGAAACTTTTATAATTTAAATCTTAAACCTTTACTCCAAAGTAAAGTTGCTATTACCGAAATAATAAACATATAACTTACTAATATACCTACGGCAATAATATTATTTACATATAAAGTATACATTGAAAAATTTACTAAACCTGTTAAAAGATTCGCCTGTAATTTAAATAAAATCAAATTAAAATTAGAATTAAATTAAAAAATTAGATAATTAAAAATTAATATTAATTATTAATACATCAGGGAGGAGTCTCATAGTTAAGTAAATAAATATAATAAATATATATATTTACCAATAAAAAAACACCCAATCCATTAAAATTAATAGCATCCATAATAATCGGTACCACTCTTTTTTCATCTTCTTCTTTCACATTTTTCTTTTTCCAATAATTAGAAAAGAATCCCAATTCTAACGCTTGAAAGATTGATAAGAAACTTGTGTTATTTGCGATTATCCAAAATATATAACTTAAATTAGCCAATTGTCTTGATATTTGGATTTGAAATCCAAAACTAAATAAAAATCCAAACCAAGTTAATATTGACCAAGAAAATAAGATCATTATTAATTTTTGAGGTTTGGGTTTTTTGACTTGTCGACCACTTCGAATCGTGTAATATGGATCTAAGGGTAATATGTAATGTCCGATATCTAAGGCAAATAAAAATATTGTAAGGTATCCCCAAAAACTAAAAATTCCTTCTTTATTGGCACTAATTAAATTTGTGGTACGAGGGGAATCATGTATATAATCTTGTAATCCATAGAAAGAAAGTGCGATTTGATATACTATTAAAATTAAATAAATTAAATAAATAAATTAATTAATTAAATTAAATAAATAAATTAAATAAATAAATTAAATAAATACATTAATTAATTAAATTAAATAAATAAATTAAATAAATAAATTAAATAAATAAAAGAAAGAAGAATATATGATTATTTATATTATGTCAATAATCCTAGAATTACTTTGAAATCACTTTCACTTTAGAACATGAACTTGAAATATACTTACAAATTGCAATTCCTAATCCAACAATAGAAAACCGAACGTATTTTTGAATTGCTCTACAGATGGTCACAAAAATTGGTAAAAGTCCAAGTGTAAAAAAGAAATTCCAATGTTTACCATATTCCGCTACATGTTCCTTTTTTTTTTTTTTTTTAATAAAAATAATCACTAATAATTATTATTGGAAATAAAAATAATAATAACATAAATAATATAAATCATTATTACCTGATAATCAACACCTTTGACCATAATTAATCTTATAAATCCCAATAATAAAATAGGTAAAGATTGTTTAACTGATTGAAATAATTGTCCTTTAAATGGTTTAAATCTATTTTCCGGTCTTTTTAAAAATGGTCTGGCGGATACAATTCCAGAAGAAAATACAAATGATCCTACCCCAAGATCCATCTATATATATATATATATTTATATTTATTTAAAATAAAAAAATTGGGAGAGAGAACTGAAAAAAGAAATATAAAGAAATTTTACCAAAGAAGTTCCAAAAGTTTCAACTTTAGCAAATCTTCTAGGAAAAACCGGAAAATCCACCGCCAAAATGGCAATACAAGTTAAAATGATCATACTTGATCTGTATGCGCTTAAAAAAGGTTTTCGATTAAGTTTAGAATAATTTTCTTTTTCATCAACATTATCTAATTTTTCTTTAATAAGTAATTCTTCAAGATTCGCATCATCATCTGAATCTTTATCCCATTTTCTTCTTTTCTTTTTTTTGTCCACAGGTGAATTAGGTGAATTAGATGATGATGATGTATATATTAAACCAGTGGAAATCGATATTAAGAATAGATTTAATAAAAATGTATGATTGGATAATAAAGTGCAAGCAAGAATATTTGGTAATATAAGTATTATAAATTCAAGAACTAAATTTATAATTTTTCCATTTTTATTAAACATGTTTGAATATTTGATGGTTGCTGCCCATAACATATATGATGTCTATACATAACAATTAAACAAATAATTAATAAATGAAATAATTAAATAAAATTTAAAATTAATAAATGACAATTAAAAAAATATAATTTAATTTTAATAATAAATATAAAATAAATGAATATAAAAATATAAAAATTAATTTAATTTACCAAAATAACACCAACTACAGAATTGATTTCTAGCATAGAGCCACCAGTGTGTCCTGTGACCCATTCCTCTTGAGCTTTTTTATATTCTGCTCTGCTCATATTATAAATAAAAAATATCTATATAAATTATATATATGTAGTAATATTGATCTTTTATATTTTTTATTATTCTTATTATTTTTGGTTTATTTATTCTTGTGGGTGTGTGTTGTGTATGTGTGTGTGTGTGTATGTGTTTTAGGGAAGAAAATGGGAGTAAATTCGTTCATGAAGGTTATTTATAATTTTTTATTATTATTCGATCTAGATTTAGTGATACGTATTGTTAGATTAATGGTTTAATGTCTAATTATTGCCTACACAATATTCACATATTAAGAAAAATGTAATTCGGATTGGTACGTGACTTTGCATGAGAGTTTTTTTTTTTTTTTTTTTTTTTGGCTTGATAAATATAAAAATTATAAATTATTATATAAAATTATATAAAATTATATAAATATATTGTATTTATTATTTAATAGGTTTAATAAATCAAATACAAGAAGTTTATTTCATTACAATACAATAAAGTTAATAAAATAAAATTAAAAAAATAAAATTACAAATGATATTCTACTCTAATATACAGAATTATATATAATTATATATACATATACAGAATTATATATACATATACAGAATTATATATATATATATATATATAAAGAAATTTATTAAATTCCGTAAAATTCTTTTTTATCGATTCCTAAAAATTTTAAAACATTTCCACTTAATAATTTTTCTTTATCTTCATCACTTAACCATTCAGATTGTTCAATCATTTGACCTGGATGATGTTCACCCAAAGGAAATGGATAATCACTACCTAACATAACTTTATCTATACCAAATTTTTTAATAATGAATTGTAAAGTATCTTCGTCATGAACTAATGAATCAACATATATTCGTTTAAGATATTCTCTATAAATAAATAAATAAATAGAAATAAATAAATAACAAAAATAGATAAATAATAAATAATAATATATATAACAATAAATAACATACAAAGGATTCTTTTTTATTTTAATAGCACATAAATCAGGTCGAACATTAAATCCATGAACAATTCTTCCTAATGTTCCGGGAAATGAACCTCCACCATGAGCAAATGATATCTTGAGTTTCGGATGACGTTCTAAGACTCCTCCAAAAATTACTGAACACATTGCAACGGTAGTTTCACATGGCTAAAAAAAAAATAAATTAAAAAGTTAATTTGATTTAATTTAATTAATTTAATTAATTTATTTTATTTATTTAGTTCAACTTACCATTCCAATTAACCTGAAAAATTATATATATATATATATATTAATAAAATGATTTAATAACAAGATGATAATAATAAGAACTTACCAAGGATACCAATATTTTTCCATTCTTCCATTAGTTTGCATTCCCTAGAAAATTTTTGTGAAATCATAACTAATTAAAAATATTGATATTATATTTATATACATATCTAAATAATTAAATGTATTAATTAAATAAGATGTGAGAGAGAGAGAGGAAAAATACCCAAGGATGAACAAACACCGCAACATTAAGTTCTTCACAAGCTTTCCAAAAAGGATTTAATTCGGGAGCGTCCAAATTCCAATCATTTATATGACTTCCTATTTGTACACCGAATAATCCAAGTTCATTTATACATCTTTTTAATTCTTGAATTGCTAAATCAGGTGATTGCATGGGAAGTGTTGCAAGTCCAATAAATCTTTTAGGATTTTTATCACAAACTTGAGCAATATGATCATTAAGGTATCTTGCTAATTCTAAGGTATGTTGTGGTTTAGCGGAATATGCAAACATTACTGGAACTGTTGATAAAACCTATTTTAAAAAATATAATGAGAGATGATTAGAGGGGATGAAATTTGAAAGAATTAGAAAAGAGAAAGGATGAAAGATAGATGAAAGATAAAAAGAGGGATATAGAGATAGATTACCTGAACATCGATGCCGGAGACATCACATTCTTGTATTCTTTCATCAGAGGACCAACAATTACATTGAATCACGCGGAAATTTTTTCCATCTATAAGCATTTTAGCTTTACCCTAAAATAAATATATTATAACCAAATAAATCAAATATAATATATATATAATACTTATGTAAATATATTATATAATATATTATATAATATATGGAATAATATAATTACTGATTCATGATGTTCCAATTTTATCCATTCACCATATCCATATTTTTTCTTCAAGTCTGGTAAATGTTTAGGAAGTATATGTCTAATTTATTTTTTTACATATTTAATTTTATTTGTTTATTCCGATAACAAAAAATGAATTACCATAAATTTCCATAAATAATCAATTGAATTAAATTGTTTTTTTTTTAAAAAAAAAAAAAAAAACAAAAAAAAAAGAAAAGAAAAGAAAAGGCGACACTAACGTGTGCATATCAATTTTAAGAAATTTCTTAGTGGGCGATACACCATCGTTATTATTAGTAGTCGTAATATTATTATTAGAAGTATTATTATTAGTAGAATTATTAGTAGTATTATTAGAAGTAGTCATTGTATTAGTTTTATTAACGGTAGTGGTGGTTGTTGAGTTGACGGTAATGATAGCCATATTTTATATTTTTCTGATATTTCTGTTGTTTCTAATATTATTGATATTTTCTGACGTTTATTTAAAATATTTCAATGTTTTTAGAGTTTTTATTCTGTCAAAAGATAAAAAAAAAAAAAGCAATTTTATCAAAATAATAATTTTAATTTTGTACAGTACAATAAGTTATTATAAGTCAATTTTGGTAATAGTAGTAACAATAAAAAAATTAATGATAATTATAATTATAAACAACAAAAAAAGTCAAGGAGAAAAAACGATAGCGTCGTTATTATTGTTATTATTACTATGTATTATTATTTAATATTACAGTTTCACCAGATGATCGTGTGAAGTTGAAATGCTGTTGCGTGGGAAATTTGGAAAATTGAATTTATTTTAATAAATAAGGTTTCCATTTTTAGGGATCGTCTAAAGCCGATCTTACCCAGTATCGCCATTGAAATTTCACCCCCACGTGCTAAATTCATGGGTTAGGGTTAGGGTTAGGGTTTATCATGGGTAGTATATTTATCACCGTGTGTCACACCCTTCGAATATCAATTTTCATTAAATATTTTGGAGGACAGAATTTTTTTATTTTTACGGAAAACATATTCGTCACCGAATATTCATCATCCTGTAAAAGCAACACGTGAAAATTTCTGATCACCCGCCGAATTATGGACAAATCAAATTCAAGAAAATCAAAATATTATGTGGGGATGAAAATTTCTATGGCGATACTGGGGTAAATCTAAAGCTGTGTCCAGTCAAGTGACTAAAGATCGGCAACAGAAAAACGTTCCAAGAATACAGTTCATGTCACATGACAAACGGGACTTGAAAATTTGATAAAATATAATCAAAAAATTCAGGCTAAGTATTATATTTACAGAATATTTTGATTTATTTTTTTTTAATATATAATATTTTTATTTATCATATTTATTATACATTTTCTTTCACCTTTACATCATTTATTTTTAATATATCACTAATAATTATAATTTTTTATTTATTATAAATTTTCCTTCACCCTTATATTATTTAGAATAAATTCTAAACAGGATTTTAATTCTTTAAGAAATGTACCTGTTTGTTTTTCATCATCCTTCTCTTTAACCCTCCAATATATGTCATGTGTTTTTTCCATAAGTTCATTATGGCCAACTTTCAATTTTCAGCTACTTTCTTGATTTTGATTTCCTCTGATATATCTATTTCAACTAATTCATGTTGCATATATATTTCAAAGCTATTCTCCTCAAACATCCATTGGAATTTTGCCCAGGAATCAATTGTTAGTAATTTTATTGTCCCATACATAAGCTCATGAAAAATGTGACAATGTTACAGAATGAAATTATCATAATCAAAAAGTATAGTATGCAATACTAAAATACCTACAAATAATTAACAACAACTTTAGAAAATAGTAATGTTTAAAATTTAAATAATAAATAACAAATAATAATAGTTTAATAATTTTTCAACTAGTATTTATAACTAGTAACACACATTAATTAACTGCAAAATAGTAATACAAAATTATGTGTTCACATGATATTTCATTACACAAATATATTTATTAATTTATGACATTAATCAATATCACCTACTATTATTTAACAATAATTATTAATATTTATTATCAATTAGTATTAAATATATTTAGTAAATAATATAAAAAAATAGTAACCAATAGAAGTAGTACACAGTAAGATACAGTAATAGCATAGTAATAAAGATCATTAAATTTAAATATAAAAAGAAGACTGAAACTACTTTGCCTCTCTTTAGTTTACAATTTTATAATTTTGAATTTTGATAATTTGTAACTTATTTAAAATTGATAAATTTAATTTTATAATTTGTAACTTTAAGATAAACACTTGTAAAAATTATTCTGTAATTAAATTAATAAAATAATAAATAATGAAAATATGAAATAAAAACTATAATATTAACTATTGAATATAAAATATAATAATTAATAAAAGAGTATAATTGTATAATATTATTATTTCTGAATTAATGAAATTAATTACAAACTATTATTATAAATCCTGAACTTGAAATAATATCTAACCTGAATAAATAGAAGTAATATTCAACTATGATAAAATTGTAGAATGATTAATGAATGAATGTTAACACTAAAAGTGATGAAAAACTTGAAAAAATATTGAAATAAATTGATGAAAGATCTGATTCCCTTTCTAAAATAATTGAATCAGTGGTACTTTCTAAAACAACTAAACAACATTCTTATCTTTGAAAAAGGACTATAAACTTCTTAAAAGAATCATTAAGTCACTTCTTGATTTATTCTCAAGGAAATCAGGAATTACTATAGGTGTCACCCAAATTCAAATTGCTAAATCCCAAATCCCAAATCTCAAATTTCAATTCCCAAATTCAAATTATTTTTGGCATCCTAAATTATTTTTAACATCCCATATTATTTTTGGAACCCCAAATTATTTTTGGCATCTCAAATTATTTTTGGTATCTCAAATTATTTTTAACATCCCGAATTATTTTTAACATCCTAAATTATTTTTAATGTTTCAAATTATTATTGTTAATGTTTCAAATTAAAAGTATATATATTTATTATTATATTTATTATAATATTTACTATATTTATTATTATTATATTATTATTATTATTATTATTATTATTATAATTATTACTATTATTATTATTATATTATTATTATTATTATATTATATTATTATTAAATTTATTATTAAATTTATTATTAAAAAAATTAATGAATAATATATTATTAATTATTCTGCAATTTCATTTGTATTAGATATACACCTTTTCAATATTCTATTTACAATTGATTCAATATTAAAATCTTGAATATCATCATCATCATTAATTTGTTCTGATGAAAAAGGTATTTCAACTATTATTTCAATTTCAAGAATTTGTCAAAATTCAGTATCTGTAACATCAAAAAATGAATCAAAATTTTGAGAATCTTCATTTCCATTTTCTTTGGATTGATTATTTTCTAATTCAATATCATTATTAGAATCTTCATCATCAGAATTTTCATCATCAAATGGAAATATTATTTTTGTAATAATATTTTCAAATTCTTCATTATTTAATTCTTTATAAGCATATTTGATTTTATTTGTAGCATTTGAAATATAATATGTATGCATTTAAATTATGTTTTGTAAAATAGAATAATTTAAACTAAAATTAAAAAAAGTTTATTAATTAAATAATTAAATATTATAAATAAATAAATAATTAAATATTATAAATAAATAAATATAAAATAAGTTAAACATATCATAATCGATATTTATTCATATACCATCCCAAAACTGAAAAATATCATTCACAGCTTATATTATGTGATGTAATTGATTCCATTATAATTGTAAATTTTTGAATATAGTTATTTTACTGTTTATACATTAACCACCAATTTTTAACTGTATGGATATTTGATACAAATTCAAAATCATAAGGTTTGACTTTTAAAGAATAATTTGAAATTTGTGTGATTAATTTATTTGCTAATTTATCTCTTCCTCCTAATAACTTCCATATTGCTAGAACCTTTTTACATATAATATGAAAGGTATTTATTCATAAATCAGTATCTAAATTATTAAATATATAAATAAATATTTATTTAAATTCAAATTTAAAAAAATTATAAATATCTCTATATTTAGGATGTAAGAAATAAGCTAACAAATAATAATTAAAGTTAAATTTTTTCCATTGTCAATCAAAAACTCTTTGACATTTATCTGAAAATCTAATTTCTATTCGTGATAATTTTTTAATTATTGTTATTATAGTTATAATATTAATAAAATAATAAGCTAAAGTTGATAATTTATATTCAAGATTCACTATAGCTTTTTTAATAGGTAACAATAATACTCTCAAATTTTCAACATCTCTGAAAAAATTTCTTTGTCTCAAAATTGATATTATTTTTAAATTTAATATTTGTAAATCATTTTCCATTATTTTTTAAAAAAAAATAAGTATAAAGTTAAATAATATTAATTTAATTAAAATTTAAAATTTAAAATATATTATTACCTGCTTTAAAATATTTCCATATCTTAGAATTGAATTAACACAGTCAAAAGTAGTAGTTTATCTTGTTGAAACATACTTTTTCAATCTATCACCTGTAACTAAGTTATCTATAATTTCTTACTAAATATGTGTACCAGCTGCATGTGATTTATTGAAAAAATTTATACTCTTTTTACAATTTGCATTTATATTTGTAGTCCAATCAAGTTGTATAATATCTTTTGATAAAAGATGAATGTAGTGTACAATGTATCTTATTGATAAGATATGTGAATATTTTTCTACTACTAACCTTTTTACAAGTATAATATTAGACGTATGATCTGAAACTATTAAACAAAATTTTTTTGCACCTATTTCATCAATAACTTTGATAATTTCAGTTTTTAGAAATTCTCCTATATGAGAATCTTTATAAAAATTTTTTAAGGAATATATATATTCTTTATCATCACTTGTTATAATAACAAAAATGTAAAGAGATTAATCAGTTATAGATATCCATTCCTCTAAACCTAAAACAAATATAAAATTTTAGA